AGTCCTATATCATTGCTTATTTGACTTCACTACTTCAACAGGTTGACCAAACCCTGGGGTCTGTGTTAACTTAACAATTATCTTCAGTGTGTTTCTAAATGCAAGGGTGGCTCACTTGACCATGAAAAGTGAACCAAGACTCACTTGAGCACAGTGCAAGGTTTAACTCAATGGAGCACTTCCTGGTGAGCAGTAAGAAAGCAAGTCTGATGCTGCGAAAAAAGGAATATTACTGCTTTTACATCACCTTCAGAGAGTGGTCTAAAAAATTTTATGTGAAAGAGGAGACTGACTGGGCACCTGACATATTACAGTATAAATCGTTCCAGTACAACCACTAGAAAAAGAAAATGGTTGGAAAACAGATTTGCCGATTTATGTCTGGAGCCCTGTTTATTAACTACAATAAAGGTAGTTTGTTTGATGTAAACGTTTGTTTTCACACTTGGAGAGAGAGATTTTTGACCCCGTGGATTCAGAAAGTGTCAAAAAACTGTCAAAAGAATGTCCCCCTTGCATATGTGTGTAAACTTAGTATCTGCATAACTGGGTCCAATTTGTTCTCCAAATATTACAAATTGACCTAAAAGTGGATGTCCTTCCTAAGATAATACAGCTTGCGCGTCACCCTTAAACAAAGTCGACTGTTTAAAATGATAGTTAGAGCACACCTTGATATGCTGATGTGTGCATAATGTAGCATGTCACATGAGTTTCCACCGTGACCCAAAGCGGTCAAGTCCACCTCGACACAATGTTCACCCCAGTGGGTCTAAAATCGACATGCATTCGCTGACAGCCAAGGTCAGACTTGCTCCGACCCGGTATCTTTTCCTGGCCCGATGTGAAGACAGCCATATATGCTTGTCAGGTGGGATTACAGACGTTCACCCATGCAGAAAAGGCACTAACTCCCAAGTGCACATCTCCAGCTTTGGCAGAGCACGCCATAAATGAATGTATATTACTTCCTGTCACCTACCTGATTGTGTATGATAGTGTATATCTAGACTACTTTTGGAAGGTGACTGAAAGTAAAGGTCAATCAGTTTGAAACTTATACTACACTTGTCTAGCTCTCTTTCCATTAGAGAGAGAGAGAGAGAGAGAGAGAGAGAGAGAGAGAGAGATATGATAGCTGAAATTGATAATTTCATTTAACCATTCAAATTGGTGGTTTTGTATAAAAGGTTAGAGCATTTTAGTACGATTTTACTTAATTAGATTTGTCTGATTCAGTTTCGGCTTCAGGCTTTTTTGAAGTAGGGAATTGCTTGGTGATCTTCGGTTTGTTTCTCAAAAGTTCATTTGCACAAAACCTTATTTTGTAAAATTTTATCACAAAATCAAGCGAACAACGGCTGTTTGCTTTCTAGTGAGGAAGTAAAATGAGGATGTCCAAGCAAATTCAATGAATGAATATTATAAAAGAATAAAATAGGTGAAGACAGATAGTTTTTTTTCTCTCATCTTTCTTAGTCATAAAGTTGAGAACAGTCTATGACATAATGATGACTAAATCTGAATCTCAAACTAAGGACTGGCTCATCATCTTTGAAGAGTGCAATGCCTCTTACATAATCATGAGTAAAAAGTCTGAGATTTCTTCTGAAACTAAAGCCAGTCTGTGACTTCCGATCAATGGGCTGTCACTTCCGATCAATGGGCTATGGCTTTCATTGTGCTTAATTTTAAAGCTTAAATTAACTGAAATTAATTACATTTTTGACTGTAAAGCAAGAGGCAGGTTTTATAGATTCTAAAGAAGTATTTTGTCCTGCTGTAGAGAGAATAATTTTATAGAGGCAATCTGTGGAATCGACTTCTTTCTGAAGTTCAATAAGTCAATAAATTAGAGCTTCAGTCACTTGCCTTTTGGCTTCTCGAGGGAGACAACCTACTGTAAATGATATTCAAATTAACTAGTGGGATAAAGTATGATTAATTATGGATTTCTTTTAAAATAAAAAAGTGCCATTACAAACTCTTGACAATGTTTCTCTTATTATTCCTCTTGATAAAAAAATGTGGTTAAAATAATTCTCAGATCTCATTCTTTCAAGATAGATCATGAAAATTGACCAATTTGCTCATGAACTTATAGTAAAGTGTAGTATCATTTTGAAAGTGCTCTGTTATTTGCCTAGACACAAACTAAAGCTTTTCTTTTCAGATGGTCTACAATGTGAGTTCATCTATTGTTATCTTGTAGCTCTGTATCTGTATTGATTTGTAGCTGTTGAGCTCTGTTACAGATAAAGGGCAGAGGCAGGGTTGCGTGGCATTGAAGTAAGTGAAGAACCAGACAAATCAACATCTATCGACTACTACACAATCTGGTAATTAGAAGCATTTGTAAGATGATGGAATGGAGGCAGACTATCTTCTTATAACTTGTTACATAACAGCTGTGATCCACCAACTAATACTCTGCTTTGATATAGAATTCCTCTCCCATTGTGTGGCCAGTTTGAAACTAACAATGGGCATTATAGAATAGAAATGTGTCATGATTTTTTGGTATTTCTGGAGGTTATTTAAATATCATATATATATATATATATATATATATATATATATATTTTTTTTTTTACCAGGTGTAGTGTTTTTGCTTCCAATATTCAAATTGTGAGGAGCAGAGCGGCTATATTTAAGAATGATTAAAAAATTTGTTAACTAATTATACTAGTTGGTTACAATAGTATTGTATTGTGTTATGTGTTCATAAGACGTCTATAGAAATGTAGAAAATAAAATAAATTAAATTATGAAAAAAATGAATAATTATCAGGAATGTAAGAAATCACCATGCACCACTTCCTAAAAAAATTCTTGCAAATCACACCACTCACTCTGTTACACACCTACACTGACTCCCACCCTCCATGCCTTACCTCCATGACTTTCTCCTGCTGAAAAAAAGATACCTACCTGCATCCCTCCAGTTCCCTCCACTTATAACCAATTTTGTTTTCACTCCATGTCAGTTTATTTATTGATTATTTGTACCATAAAAAGTTAATCTCCCAAATATATCGCCAAAATAACATTTCTGAATCCATACATAATATCCTCTTTTTTAAGACACTTTTCCATCTGCTCTTAACATAATTTTATAATTTTCTTTCGTCTCAAAAATGGATTATCCTAGAAAAAATGAATGCATGTAATGAGAAATCCCAAAATATGTAAAACATTGGTATAAAATATTTAACATACATATTTTATATATTGCTACAAAATTCTCTAAATGACAACTGCCAATTAAAAGTAGTTTGTTTCCTTAAGTTTCTTAAGTAGGAACTATATAATTCAGAATTGAAAGGAAGTGAGTAGAGCATTGTGGTTAGATCATGGGAACTTGATCTAACTTGAGTCTAACTTGGAAACTTGAGTCACAAAAACAATATTTATGTTGTCATGCTATAAAAGCAGCAACCTTTTTTTCAAATACCCTGATGTATTATGTTTATTACATAATAAAATTGTGGTTCCACTTAAAATGTAATGTATGCATTGCATTTTCAAAGCCCTACAGGAATATGATTCATATTCAGATCACCCATTGTTTAAGTTTCCTGTGTTCCTGTGTTTAAAGGATGGAACCCATGTAGATAATTATGCAATCATCATCTGATTCAGAATAACCCATGCGGCAGGGAAGAGTTCACGTTACTTGCATCTGCTGCCCACTCACATCTTAACAACAGATTATCTTCAAGTACATCTTTCTATCAGAAGGAACATCCTCTCCTCCCTTTCCTCTTCTGCCTCTTTAAAGAAAAAACGTCCATTTTGCTACTTACTGAAAACAGTGTTGAGTCTTACACCGGACGCATTATACATTCAGAAGTAATATCGGCAAGTTCACCACAGCCTTTCTAATCAAGACTATAATGGAGCTAATTATTTAACTCAACGCCCTTCAAAACAAGGTCATCACGAGAATGTGAATTACACAGAGCCTATGCTAGTGGATGTTATTGTAACTTTATTATTAAAAATTACATTGTTTGATAGATATGTTGTTATAACTTTGACATGGAGTGACTTGTAGAATGATCTTATTCACTGATATTTTAAAGGGGGGATGAACTCGACTTTTTGTACTTTCATGGTTGTCTAATTATATGAATAAAGTGATTTTTGCATCAAAAATATTGTTTACTTGAACTAATACACCTTTGTTTACCTGTTAAGTTTTTCAACCAGGTTCCCGAAAGTAGGTGGGATTCTCACTTCAACCTGCAGTAGGTGTCTCTAACTGGACAGTGGTTTGTTTATTAAATGGCTTCATTCTCCATCGCTCTTGTCAAAATAAGGATTTTTTTCTTAATCTTTCAATAGAAGGCCACATTATTAATCCCACTAACCCATGTAACTCAAAGCAGGTTCAGTCCTTGTCTAATTTGACACAGTCCGAAACTGCGAACCACTCGAACAGATAGCTAGCCTGTATTTTCATAACTGCCACATACGCTATACAGGTCTTGGGAAAATATTTAGCTGTGAGAGTAATATAAAAGAAAAAAAAAATGCAAGTATTTAAATCTTAGTAAGTGATGGGCAACATGATGTTATAGGTTTTGTTTGATATTCTTTGTGGAGCTCTGCTTCTGGAGAGTAAAACCAGTGTTTAATGTTCTCTTTTCAAACAAACTAAATGAATAAAAACCGATGTGTTTCAAACATTGGCTTGCTCCTTTTTACCAACATTTTTTTTAATCCAGAAAAGGCTCTGAATGCAGGTAGCACAGTTGTGTGGTAGCAAAAATAGTGTGTGATTTTCTCTTTTTTAACAAAAATGAAAAAATTCAAAACATATATACATATCTGTTCTTTCAAATACTGGCTTTTCTCACTCTTTTTTCAGAATAGGCTATGATTGTTGGCAGAACAGCTGTTTTGTGCCATCTGGAGAGTGGAATGTCTCATTTTAATCCCCTTATCATCTTTAGAAACATCTTGGCTTTCTGTGTAGCTAGCTATGACTTTATTTTTTTTCTGTGCCTCAGTCAGTAGAGCATTCCAATAGCAATGTAAAGGTTGTGGGTTCAAACCCCAAGGAAAGCAAGGATTGACAAAATGTGTTCCTTGAAATGTAGGTTGCTGGATAAAAGTGACTGCCAAATTTATAAATGTTAATGTACATGAAGCTGTGTCTACAGCCTATCATTACAGGGGGAGGTTCAGTGTTTATGTGTGATGTTTATCTTTAGCTTGTGTCACTTGATCAAAAGCAATTTTGAGTCCTGAAACAGGCGGCATGGTGGGGCAGTGGGTAGGTTGCCGGTGACCTTTCTAAAAGGAGTTTGCATGTTCCCCTTGTACTTCTGTGGGTTTCCCCTGGGTACTCTGGTTTCCCCCACAATCCCCAAAAACATGTGGCAGGTTAATTCCCCCTAAGGAGTGAATGTGTGAGTGTGTGTTGCCCTGTGATGGAGTGGCGACCTGTCCAGGGTGTACCCCCACCTCTTTTCCAATGTGCGCTGGAGAGATGTGCTGGATGTGCACCGGCAGACCCCCGTGACCCCAAAATGGGAATAAACAGGTTAGAAAATGAATGAATGAATCCTGGAACTGCTGCAGTAGCTTTAATGTTCCATCAGCTCCTATATGCCAAAGAGGTCAAGCAATATTGAATCAGTTTAATTTCTCATTATCTCCAGCCTCTAAAAATTTGATAATGTTGAAAGATTTAACTGAGAAGACAAGAAGGTAAATGCTAAAAAAAAACTTATTTATGTCACCAAATTTTGTCATTGAGTGCTGGATGCTTCCAAATACGTTCCAACACAGCCTGCTAAACAATACACAACGACCAACCCCCAGAAGCACATTGCATTGCAAAAAAACATGAACTTATGTTTAATTATGTTATTTGAAAAACTATTTTAATGATCACTTATAGTTGTCAATAATGTTCGAACAAAATCAATAATGTTTTTGTTTGCTTTAAGTTTAGTTTCACCAGGAAACTTATATTTACATTTGGACTCCCTGCAAGCATCATCTGAGCAAAAGACACCCAAAACACTTTGATTTAACTGCTTCTAGATCAATACGACTTTCAGAGTGGACTATTTGGGCTGTGATTTCTTCAGAGCATGATGCCAGTTTCCTGCTTATTTTAGCCTTAACTGGCATGTTGTACACATTATTCTTTTACATCCATGTGATGAATGTACATAGCGGTGAAAATGCTGTTGACTGTATAAGGAACCAAATAAATGTTGCAAGAGATTAAACATGGACCCTAAGTTTACTTTTGGAAATACAGTATGAATGTAATTGAAACAGTGAACAATTGAAGTGTCTGTAGCTCTTCATTTGATATGTGCTTTGCTCCAGGGCTATGTAACCCCTGGCTTTCATTCAAAAAGGATTTGGGTTAGCCCTTTGCCTCACGAAGATGCACAAAACAGAGAGTAAGGGGTACTGAGTAAGCTAAAGGAGGATACATTCTTTCAATGACTGACCCTGATGTCACATAACCTATTATGTTAAAAAATACATATTTTATCATAATTCATTATGCGGTACTATTTCTTCTTAGTTATTGCATTGAAAAATTTTCCTGATAATTTGGGCTGTTCTTTTTCTCTCTCTATGGTTCTTGATGAGTATTTCCCATGCTCTCAGCAGAGGTAACGGTCTTTCTCAGTATGCCATCAATCATTAGGCTGGCCACTAGATTAGGGCTGGACTCATGTGGTCATGTGCTGTTTGAGCTGAAGGGAATGAAGCCAGTTCCTGGAGATTCAGCATGTGATATAGCAGCACTTCAAAAGACTGAGCCATTGAACTGCTGGAAGGAACGTCTTAAGCAGGAAATAAGGACCATAGGGACATTTCTGAGTCATATTCACATTTTCACTCAGCCCTTTGGCCCTTAATAATGTGGATTCAATTTATTATTTCAGTGGAGTTTTCAGGCTGCTTTAACACAGGCTTCTTTAGACGTTGGGGTAAAGAGTAAAAAAAAAAAAAAAAAGAGTTAAGAGTTAAGCACAAAGAAATGTGCTTAAATTAGGGCTGTTTAAGAAAGCAAACGTTGCTAGAAGTAAATTACTTTTTTTCTTTTTTTTATTTGGCCCATACATGTGTACTCTCATGTCTCCCATAGCCCTGACATCCCATAGTCCAGTCACCCTGTCTCCGGACACACATTCAAATTAACAATTAAAATGTAGTCTCTAGAAAACAAGGTTACACGGTTCACAACGTAGAAAAAAAGAAAGAGATAAGACAAATGCACAGCTCTGAGCCATCTTTTACCAAAATGCATGATTCACTAATGTCAAACATGCAGCTGCTTCTCCTTTGTCAGTGAGTGCATATCTCTGACCTCGGTTTAATATAATCTTGTGCAGCCCGGTATCAGAGATGTTACACTGGCTGAGTGATAGAAACTCACGTCAGGCGAGGGTGTTGTGATTCCTGGAGTGAGGAAGCTAATGCATTATATTTGCTGCAAATTTTCATTATAAAAGATGCATGAAATGAAACATGTCTTTCCAAGAACAAAGTTTTGAGAACGTTATCCTGACAATGTTTTATCGTGAAAACAAGATTTCTTTTGTGATATTTTGTACACCTAAATTACATGTACACTAGATAATTGGGCTTTTTATTCAAAAAGGCCATGAACATGCATTCAAGTATTATCACTTCGGCCAAATGTGGACTTGGTGTTTATGTAACAGGTCTAGTAATCAATAAAAATCAAGCAACCAAAAATTGCATCACTCTCTGACTTTTCTGTCATTTTTTTTCAACAAACAAAATGTTAGGTCCTGGTCTTTGTTTTTCCTTCCTCATGTGCTCCCTTCATCATTTCCTTCAGCTGCCATGACTTCATTATGCGTGACCTCCAATTAAGACTCCCTTCTTCTAATTCTTTCTTCTCCTACACTTTGTCTGACCATTAAAAAAAACCAACAGCATTGAGAAACCACTGCCTACTTGATTCACCTCTCGCTTGCAGTCTGAGGTCTTGTACTGCTTGGAGTGTGTGGATATGTGTGTTTCCCTTGCTTGAGTGAACAATCTTCCTCTGAATTCGGTGGTTGCTGGAACTGGGAGGCTCTCCACAGTCCGCAGACTGCTATCCATCCGGCTGAGGCCGATCTCTGAACTGAGTATATTAAGTGAACTGAGCCTTGTGGCTACCCTGCTCTTGAGTTAAAAAAAAAAAAAAACTTGCATTTTGGGCACCTATTTAGCAATTATTTTACAACATTTTGCATTTGTGAACTTTTTTTTATTACTTTTTTTACTCTAATAATTACTTTGTAGTGTTATTACTTAATCATTTTGCACAATAATTAAACATAATACTGACACAGAGTCATATTTTCACCATACCATCTGATCCTGTGACCCCAAATATACATATGTTCAAAATATGTTTCATGAAACCAAATCAAAAATCAATTTTATTTTGTCCCTCACTCAACCAAATAGTGGTTCCCAACACCCACTTATTGGAAACTGGGAGCCAAGTCTTTTGATGTTTGGCTGCCTTGAGTTTATTTACTTCTTCACATGTTCACTTTTAGCAGCATGTTTCCACAATACATGGCCTTTTTTGGTAGAACTGTTTTCATACTTTTCTTCTGCCCTCTTTTCTGTACAGTCACTCTGCTCTCCCACATAACAAGGGGGGTGATGGTAATTTCCTCGTTGCTTTTGGGAAATTAATTAGTCAAAGTAGTCATCGTAGACAGCTTTGCCAGCTTTTTGATGAGTAAGAACTTTTTTTTTATTTTTATCATAAAAGACTTGTAGATTAGTTTTAGAAAGGTTTTCAAATAAATGTCTTTGTTCAAGTCTTTTGTGATTTTATATCCCACATTTGTGATGTGAGCACATCATATTTAAAGAATAACCCAAGATGAGATGAAATTCTTCTTTTCCTTTCGGCTGTTCCCAGTTTAGGGGTCGCCACAGTGAATCATCATGGGCTAAAATGTAATACAAATAAGTCAATAGTTATTTTTTCTAGCTGATGGTATATTTTGTGCGATAACATTTGCCCGAAAAACAAAACAAAAACAATAAATACTTAGCTAATTATAACCTTAACATTATAACATTATGTGACCATAATATGTCTTTATGATGGTGAGGAGCAAGAATAAAGATGCAATAAAATGCTGTGAGTATCTGCCAATGAATATGCTACAACATGCAGTGACATGGATTTTCTTTTCAGTGCATTCATAACAACATTATGGCTGAACTAAAGAGGAGAAAAGAAATAGAATCTACTTGTATCCATGGAAAACCAAATATTTTTTTTTTTCCAATCAATTGTAGCTGAAAATCTGGTCATTGTGATAAATCAGATTCAAACTTCCTGTGTTTTGTATATCTAATGCTCATCATGCTGGGCTTTAGAGTTCTTGCCGTAAACAAGATTAATTCCTTTCTTTAGTTTTGTGACTTAATTCAGCTCTTATATGAAATAACAGACATCAAAACAGAGCTTGTGTACAACTTCATGACTTTAATAATAGATTTCGAGACAACCCTTGCTGGGCTCAAAGCTCCAGCTGTGATGCAATGTTACCTGTTATTATGCAGGATCCACAAGTTTAACTGTGAGGTGAGGGAGATAAAAACAAAAAAAAACATGGCGGATCATTGTGTATTGTTATGTGTAGCAGTAGTTAAAGACGAGAAAATACACAGTGCTGTATCTACCTGCAGATTAGAAGAAGTAGAAGCTATTTCTAAGTTTCTAAAAAACATGTTTGTTGGTTCCCTGTTTCATTTGCAAAAAACTTTGTTGATGTTTTGCATATTTTACTGATCGAAGTATTCTGGGTTAAATTCGTTTTTTAAAAGCCCAACAGTAAAGTGCATATTATTTTTTGAGACACACCACCCTATACTCCTTGAGAACATTATCATGTGACCTGAAATATGTCCTTCTCTTCTTGCAATTTCTTCAATCCACATTTGGCACAACCCTAGTGAAGCACAATGGATAATTACCCACTGTGGCAAGTTCAGAGGATTCTTTCTCTGAACGTAGGCCATGGCCATACACGGGTGTGGACCATA